CAAACTCTTTGATCATTTCCTGCATAATCATTGCCATCTAAGATGTTAATTCTCATCTTTTCCAGTCTAAATTTGATGATAATCTACACTAGGATACTATTGGTCTATTTGGATCTTACTCTTATTGTACACTTAGAGTTATATCTCTAGTAACTATGAAATAGCGAACATACCAGATCGGAGAATTTTTTATTGAACGCTATTACTTCAGCCAAGGATCGGACTGGAGAAGCCACTAGTTCTTTCAGGTAAGCATTCAAGGAAATCCTGAATTCAGCTAATGCCGCTGTTGTTTCGCCACTTAAAGTGGAGGTCAAAATTGTGCTGATATTAGCAATTTCCAAATAATCTACCACGACTGCACCATTGCTCCTGAAGTTGAACGACAGTTTCATCAAGATAGAGTTAAATTAATTTAGGTCATGTTCAGTAACATGGGTTGGAAAGTAATAAGAGAAAAACAGTTAAAATCTTGTCTATTGTATTGACAAGTGTATACCAAACGTGCTCCTAGTATATAGGTGAGTTCGTACCTAAATGTTTGGAGATGATTCTGGAAAGCTTGTGCAACAAGTTTTTCCGAAAACTTGAAGAATGGATCTCTCACTATTCCCAATCTCTTTCCCTTTAGCCCGTCGGCTTTCAGAAACTGGACATAACCACCACTGGGAATATAGTTTGATGCTTTTCCGGTTGCTTCAGCATCATTGTAGTCAAAGCCTACAATGGCATCAAGAACATAAGCAGCATCTGATACAGTCCTGCAGATTGGCCTAATTCAACAAATTGGAAGACTTCATTAATCAAAATCTTAGCCTCTAGAAAGCCAATGAAATGTACACAATTCTAAAGATTCCTAGTTTTTAAGGCAACAGAAAATGTGATGTAGATGTTATACAATATATGATAATCCTACTGGTAATCTTGAAGATGATTATTAGAATCCAATGTGTCCGTGTGTGTAACAAATGTTAAAGCTGGCAAAAAAGTCAAGTGGCTGCAGCATATGGATATTCTCGCACATTTGACCTGTTGACAGATTTTTGAGATGAAGTAATTACGAAATAGGGAACACCCTACCCTATAGTATCCTGTCTTGGAGTAATTGGAATTACCCCGGCTCGACTTGTGAGACCGACAGTTGGTTTGATACCCACCACTGAATTGAAACTAGATGGACAAATGATGGAGCCATCGGTCTCTGTCCCAAGCGATACTGCTACCATATTTGATGCCACAGAGATAGCAGATCCACCACTGGAGCCACAAGGAGTAGCCGATAGAACATAAGGATTCTGCAAGTACGAGTAACTTTTTAGTTCAAATATGTTTGTCTAAACTTATAAGTTAAAAATTTACTTAAAAGGTATAACAATTGAATTATAGATAGATTCACCTTCCCTTGTCCACCTCTTGCACTCCAACCAGCGGGTGCAGTAGGTGACCTAAAAGCAGACCACTCGCTCAAGCTCGCCTTCCCAAGAATGATAGCTCCTGCCTTCCTCAGCTTCATCACCACCCCAGAATCCTGAGGCACGACCGATCCCAGCAACGCAAATGATCCAGCAGTTGTATTAAGTTTATCCTTGGTTGCAATGTTATCTTTTAGAAGGACAGGAATTCCATGTAACCCGGAATACGAACCCGCAGCCTTAGCCTTTCTTTCTAAATCTGCTTTGTCCGCTAGATAAAGAGCATCAGGATTTACCTCTATAACCCCTTTAAGAATGGGGTTAAGTCTTTGGATTTCATTGAGATAGAACTGAACAAGTTGCCTTGATGTCAGTTGGTTTTGCTTGAAAGCAGTCTGTAAATCCCAAATCGTGGCTTCCCTGATAGAAAGTGCATGACATGTATTCGTACCCGAAGGCAACCATTGGAGCAGAATCAGGCAGATAACAGAAATAATTAATGATAATGAGTGAATTTTCATAGTTAACATAAATCTATGGTGTGTTTATTTTCAATCACATTTATGTTGAGAATTGATCAGAAGTACTCCTTTGGATTTTAGTAGTATCTGGGGGCTATTAATTTGACTTCTACTAGTTGAAACTTAGCACAAGCTATGTGAAATTAAATACAACCTCATAAGAACAGACACCTAGGAATATAAGAATATTCTGTCTCCTGGCCACATTTTTTAGTGGAAAAAAGTTGTCTGACCAATTCCACAGCATCTGCAGAAAAATGCTGATGTATGCCCATTAAATTGTTTATAAGATGCCAACTTTTTCTTGAATTTGGATTCATATGGCTTCTTGCTACTAATTGAAGATATTTAGATGAACTAATTGGCTGAAATGATATCTAACAAGAAATCGATCAAAAAAAAAGCTGCTACGACGAGAGCTTTGTCAGGGTAAGCTTTCCATGTTGCTTCTGCAGAAAAATGCTGATTTATGCCCATTAAATTGTTTATAAGATGCCAACTTTTTCTTGAATTTGGATTCATATGGCTTCTTGCTACTAATTGAAGATATTTAGATGAACTAATTGGCTGAAATGATATCTAAGAAGAAATCGATCAAAAAAAAAAAGCTGCTACGACGAGAGCTTTGTCAGGGTAAGCTTTCCATGTTGCTTAATGTGACAAATCATGTTACAGTTTCAGGGAGGTTGACATAATATTACATGACATTTTATCATTAGACTATTTAAAACACAGTGAACTTTTTATCTAATCATATCTTGCCAACACCCATTATGTTAAGGCATCTGTCAACATTTTTCTGGCAAAGTTGCTTTACCCTAATATGACACTGATAAGGAAGTCTCAAATAGGGTTGAGTTAAAATATAAAAGAGAGAAAAAAAATATTAAACACTGATGTCATGTTAACTTTTTACTCGTAATGGATGACACAAAAAAAAAAAATTTTAAAATAATGTCCAAAGAGGGAGAGGCTATGGACTTTTTCATGGGCACGCCTCATTGCCTATTATTTGGTAAGAACATTTCAAATCATCTATAATTTAGTAACAACTATATTTTCTGTTTCTTTACATACGCCCACAATGCAAGCTCGTGCAGATAAATAATTGTTGACAAGATTGATAAGAACCTTCAAACCACAAGATACAATAGATTAATCCAAATGCATGATATTGACAAAATCCAAATATAATTGACAAGAAAGCCATTAAAAGGCGAACCAATTCATCCATCACTACACCACATGACATTTTATCATTGGACTATTTAAAACACAATCAACTTTTTTCATTCAATTACATCTTGTCAACACCTATTATGTCAAGGCATCTGTCAATATGTTTCCGACAAAGTGGCTCCACCCTAATGTGACACTGATACGGAAGCCTCACATAGGGGTCGAGTTACAATATAAACGAGAGAACAGTTTGAAACACTAATGTTATGTTAGAATTTTACTCGTGATATATGACATTAAAAAAGTTCTAAAAAATTAAAGTCCAAAGAGGAGAGGCTACGAACTTCTTCATGGGCACACCACATTTCAAATTCTACGGTAAGAACATTTCAAATCATCTATAATTTAGTAACAACTCTATTTGCTGTTTCTTTACATACGTTCACAATGCAAGCTCGTGCAGATAAATAATTGTTAACGAGTGCTGGTAAGAACCTTCAAACTACAAGATACAAAGGATTAATCCAAATGCATCATATTGACAAAATTCAAATATAAATGAAAAGAAGGCCATTAACGGGTGAACCAATTCATCCATCGCTACACCAAATTTGGCTTGGTCAAAACACAAGGAACACCCCGAAAAAAAAAAAATTTAAAATGATTGGTTAATTTCACTAATGATCACTGAAATATGTTTGAAATTTCAAAATGGTCATTAAACTATTTTCTTACCTATATAGTCACTCAAGTTAACAATGATTTCACAAATGGTCACCAGGCTAGTAAAAAGTAAGGGAAAATTGCAACAGAAGTTCCTAACCTTAGCTAAAAGGTGCAAATATCTTCTTAACATTTAAATCTTGGCACCATAGTCATCGACTTTTTATTAATGTAGTAGAAGAAGCATTTGCAGACAAAACCCGTCTAATTAGACATTAAATAAGCATTGAATGTCAGATGATGTATACACTTTTTTTTTTTTTTTTTTTTGCATTAAAATGATAACATAGTCTTGTTTATAATTGAGAATTTAAAAAATTAAATTAAACTAAAAAAAAAATTAAGTCTCCCAAATCCCATCATAAATGGTCAACCAATGTCCTCCCCAAAAATCTCAAATATGTTGATTTCCCAATGTACTTATCAGCATAGTGTGGAGTTATGATGATGTAGAGTGGGAGCAAGGGATGGGTGGGGGTGGATATTGAAAAGAAGAGTTAGGGATCCATTTGCACGTATTGCAAAAGGTTAGAGACCTCAGTTGCAGTTTTCTCTTATAATATATTGTAAATATGAATGACCATTGCTGATACTGTGAGCAATATTACACGAGTAAGAGAAATACTTCCATGACCATTCTGAAACTTCACACATGCTTCCTATTTCTGAAAATTAATCTATAATGATCAACTCACTTTTCTTTAGTAATCTATAATGTTGAAGTGAGAGCTATACTGCTCCCTGGCCCTGCAGTGAAGGGGCAAGCTGGCCATTTTTCCGCAGCATTAAGCCTCTGGTTAACAATTATTGAGTGATTACTAATGTGTTATCAAACCTCAGTTATTGAATTTTTCTTCAATTTCTTCAAATTCTGGATATTTAGTGGCTGTCTGGGAGAGCTTTTCTCCCAAATTCAGCAATTTTCTGACCGTCAGAAACTGCAGAATGGTCCCATTTTGGCAGCAATTTTTGACAAATAAAAAGTGAAATACCAGCAAAACCAGTCTCTCATATAAAATAAATTAAATGTCAAGGGCAAAAAGGTCATTTTTGCTTAAATTGGTCCACAATTGCGGCTAAGTTGTCTGATTTTTCTACAGAATGCATGCTGTCGGCATGAAAAGCAACGAACCAAATTTCAATTATCAACGGTCCAAATTGTGATTTTAAGCTCTCGCCTTAATATTTCAAATCAACGAATTCAAATTCTCAATATTCATGGCGAATCAACGAGTCTTTCATCAAGTCAATAAGGGAAATAAACCTCAAAAGCTGAATCTCAAATAGGTTGCGAATTAGAAAATTGTGTATGATTGATATTTTTAGATTCCCGAAGAATGTATTCATTTCATCTTCTGTTTCATATCTCCTCTGAAATTTGAACATAATGTCATAAGCATTCGTTCTCAATTTCATATTTGAGCCATTTTACTACTATAACATTATTAAATCTGAATTCAGTACAAAGGTCTGAGGGTAGATATGTTGGTGGCTTCCTAATCTTGGTTGCTCGTTCAAATCTATAAGCAACGTTCCGTAAGGTTTTCTTCTCCGCATCCCCAATCCCATTTGTGGCTTCGGCAACCAAAAATATTTCCTGCCCAAACTCTTCTACCCTTTCCTGAACAACCATTCTATTAATTTCTGTACATGATTGGTTTGATATTAATTTTATTAGCTAACTCATACCGACAGCTGAATTGAAACTAGATGGACAAATAATGGAGCTGTCAGTCTCTGTCCCAAGGGACACTGCTACCATATTTGATGCCACAGAAATGGCTGATTCACATCTAGGATTTACATAAGGTAGTGAAATTCCTTGTCGGGTAAGTTCCGACCCATTCATATTCCGTTGACCAATCCTTCCTAAGATTATTCTTCTTCTTATATAGTTCTCATGTACGTGAATACGAATCTATTTGGTTTGTGGGAGAGCAATACAAGCGTCGTACTGCTAGGTGAAATCCCTAATTCAAATTGAAATGTACAATGATCCATAAGATTTTCGTTTTCTTAAAACAGAAAAAACCTCATTTCTTGGTGTCAAAATAGGAGTTATTTCACAAAGACTCGCAGGGTAAAGAAAAAAAAAACGAATCGGAAAAAAAATATTCTTGCACTCCAAGCATTCACAGCCCAGTTAGTGACCTAAAATGAGCCCACTCTCTCAAGCTTGCCCTCCTCAGCTTTATCACCACCCCAGAATCAAGAGGCACGACTGATCCCAGCAACGCAAATGATCCAGCGGTGGTATTAAGCTGTTCTTGGTTGCAATGTTATCTCTTAGGAGGAAAGGAATTCCATGCAGTCCTGAATATGAACAAAGAGTCTTAGCCTTCATTTCTGTGTCCGCTTTATCTTGCATTTCATTTAGATAGAACTGAACAAGTTGCCTCGACGTCAGCTGGTTCTGTTTGAAAGCAGTCTGTATATCCTGAATTGTAGCTTCCATGACAGAAAGTGCATAACGTGTATTCGTGCCAGAAGGCAAACATCGGAACAGAATCAGGGCAACAATAGAAATAAGTAATGATAATTCAGAGTGAAATTTGATAGTTTAGAAGTATTCCTTTGGATTTTAATATTATCTTGGGAGCTATTTGCGTTATAGAAGAAGAAACGAAGGCAAAATTGAGAGCAGAACAGCACAATATTCTCTGCATTTTCTGTTATGTTCAAAAAGGAAGTTACAGTGTCCTTTTTTAAAAGGAAAAATGCAGTAGCCACTTTGCAACAAACTAAGTAACAATTTTAAAGGAGAAAAAACAATCCCTACTAACTAGGAATATAAGTGTAAAAATAAAGTATAAAAGTGTGCATGAATGTGTGTATTACAACTCTTTTTACTCTCTGGATCACGTAAAGTGAATAGATGAGAAGTCGATTCGGCGATTTGATAACCCCAAAAGAAATATCAGGTGATTTCACCTCAGAAACAATGAGTTCAATCGTTTTCAACATGAGTCAGGGGTTGAAGAGCGTTAACAAAAAAGCTTGCCATGTTGCACTCTGCTTTTTGTGCAGAAGCATTAAATAAGGTTGAGGTAAAATATAAAAAGAGAGAACGAACAAAGAGAACTTACGGAACAATGTCATATTATGTTTTATCTCGGAAGATATGACAATGAAAAAAATCACCAGCATAAAGTCCAAAGAGGGAGAGACCATGGATTTTTTTTCATGGGCAAACATTGGACTCTTAAATATCCGTCATGTAATGATCAACGCGTTATGCCACATGAACTCTTCTTTCTTTATATTCCAAGTTCCCAGTCTATATACAAGCAAAGGAGGAAACAGGCTAGATTTTGAGTGAGAGTTAGGGTGGAATTATTTTTTACTGACAAGAGTAATTGTTGAAGCAGGATTTCCCTCAAGAAAGCTAGTCACTTAGAGAACGTCTTTGGAATTGGATCTGGGTATTAAGCAATCTCAATCAAAATAGGCTCTGTGCCTTTCAGCCCTCCAAAACAGATGGCAAATGGCATACTCTGTGTCATAGCCAGCTGAGACGGTGATTGCAGGATACCCTCCAATTGCAAACATAGACGAAATAGCTGAATTTAATGTCACTATTGCGTCCAACTCGTTTTCCAACATCAACTTCTCAAACCCATCTCGTAAGTTTCTACATCATCTCGAATGCCTCCCTCTCATCCAATCCAATCCCATTTGTTAAATCTGCAGCAAGAAAACTTTCTTGAGCAAACTCTTCAATTCTTTCCTACAATGAGCATAGCTGATTCGAGATGGTCATTGATGCAAACAGATTATGGCATGTTCAGTAATGTTGATTAGACAATATTAAAGAAGAAAAACAAATTGTCCACTACGTCTCATATCATGTACGAAACATATACTTTTTAACACCATATAACATCCATTTGGAGTGGTTATGTTGTGGATGCCTCTCTATTCTGGTATTGGGCCTCTCCATTTGTCATTGGGCTTTGCTATGTTGGGCCACCAGGTTTTTCCGTTTGATTGAAACACGTTTTATCGAAATGCGATTTTTTCCTTAATTGAGTGATTGACTCTGACCTTACTACATCTGGTATACCCATGACCGTTGGATCTATATCTTGTGGGTGGACTATATAAACCTCTCTCGACTCTTCGTTGTACTGCTATGCTGTGTGAATATTCTAGGGTTTCCTTCGTTTACTCTCTGGGTATTTCATACTCTTCATCTTCTTTGTGTTTAGTTCAATCCCTGTAAATCTTTGTAATATCTTTGATTGTATTTAGTGTACAATTGTAGAGATTGTGAGGAGAGTGTGTTTGTGTAATGAGAGTCAAGAGAAAACTAGAAGTGAAGAAATGTGCATACATTTCTACACTGATTCTTTGTGATTCTTATTGGATTTGAGCCTAATCTACTTTGTAGATGCTCAACGGGTGAATAGACCTTTGACTGAACATTCGGGCCTTGAGGGGTGAATATTCTATACGTTCTTATTTTTCTACAATCTTCAATTTTTTGATGAGAGTTGCTCTATGTACAAATATAGAAACTTTACAGATGAGGGGGTGATATTTTTTTCCACTATTTTATTCCACATGGGACCCACTTTCATGTGACACTTCTGTATGACTTCTGTTAAATAAATTCTGTGCAAATAGAATTACTTTTTTTTTTTATAATTGTTTTGTCAAGAAATCTGATTCTGACACCAACAGGTTAGTTGAAGGCTATAATGTCAGCTAATGAAAGGTTAGTCGAGTTCTAATTTTACTTCTAATATAAATCAATACAATCAATAAATGAAATGTTTAGTTATTTTCTATTAACATATGAATTAGTACTGTTAATGATAATTTTTCTATTTTATATTTTTAATGAAGTTGTTTTCAATTATTTGAAAAATTCGTCATGAAGACATTTTAAGTCTATCAACTTCATTTTAGATGAAATATGGCTTAAAAAATGGTTACGGGGTGAATATGATACTCAAAACTAAGATTATGGGAGGCTACTAATATTTTTTAAATGTGAAGCTGTGTTTATGATATTGTGATCAAGCTCAGATCTTATCTATATATTATATTTTTAATATATAATTGTGTCCACTTGAACCACGGATGTGATTTTCTAAACATTGGTTCGAATTGTAGATCAAGATTCAATGTTGAATATGTTCACTTTGTAATTCTCAAGAAATACTCTAATTTCCTTGGTAAATTAATCGTGAGTTGACTTGATGACTATTGCGTAAAAATTAATACCTCTAGACATCTCGCACGAATTACCATAGATTCAAACTTCTAGCATCGGGGTGATCTGGTAACACCTCTGTTAACACAATGAGGGGTTAAAATCTGTCAAGTTATTCGAGACTGAAAGCCCCTAGACCAGGAAAGCCTGAAAAGGCCGTGCTTGAAACCAGGTTATGTCTACCTGGAATGGCCTGGTTTATACTTCTATGCTCGATTAGTGGAACTGTTGAAGAGTGCCATCTAGGCTTACAATTCCTGCTTCTGAAGTCTCACGGTTCCATTTTGTTTGATTTCCATTCAAAGTACCTAATATGGTTTGTGTAAACTTCTCCAAGGCGAGCAGAAAATGATGAAAATATTTTGTTAACAGAAGAGAACTTGGTTTGGATTAAGCTCTAATCTCTATTTAGAGAGCAATAGTAAGCGAAAAGCAAATCCAATAATGAATTTATAATGTGTCGCTGGAAGATAATGCAGTACATTGCAAACACCAGTAACTTATTACAAGACAGACATTCTACAACCATGGTGTTACTATAATCAATTCAAGTAAAGAAATTTTATCTCCTTAAATCACTTCCAACGAAGAAGAATTATCTGAAGCCACCATCTCGATCAACAAACAGCATAAATGAACACAATATAACCGCAGAATTATTATAAGAAGAAGCTATAGATATTGATTCAAAACGAAGAACGGATCATTTGCAAGGAGTAAGCTTGCAGGTGGCAGCACCATTGCCTGAGTTTGCCCTCATGAATCTCAGCGCAGTGCGAAGGACGTGTTGAGTAGATCCCATCAGTGCCCAGTTCATGTTTTGGATTACATCTAGAGGATGATATGGGAACTGAAGGCTATTGTAGGAGTTAAGAAGGGCAGTTGTACCTTCCCTTAGAAGGGTTCTATACGGATCAGCTCTCCCATTCATGCTTTGCACCAGGGTCATGTCCGTGCCATATTTCCGAGCAGCTACAAGCCCAAAAACCACAGCTACTTTGGTGTCGGGGGTAACCACCTTCCAATAGCATCTATGTTCCGGCATCATCCACTGCCTGCATAAAAACTCGTCACTTATATGGAACTACAAAATTTACGCTAAAAATTGAAGGGGAGCATTTCTAGAGGTATGGAGGCTGAAATCAGCCGAATTAGAGGTGTAAAAAGGGTTGGACTCAAGGGCAATTGTGGAAATTTATTTTCAGACCCCTTAAATTAGTAGAGTTCTTATCCGAAATTGTCAGAATAAATGGAGAAAAGGCTTTTCAACGGTCACTTTTCTTCTTAAAAGAAGGTGAAAAATCTGGTCCAAACAAGCGCTAAATACTATCTAGCACCATTGGTGTTAAAACAAAAGTTTACTTGTAGTTACAAGACTTGCTTTGACATGGCCTCCCGGCCCATTTTTCCCTTAGCCGAAAGATATGAACTTACTGGTGTGAGCAAGCTGAAGCTTCTAAAAATGGAGCTGGGGGCAGTGGCGGTAACTTGGGCAATGGTGATGCCGTTGGTGGTTGAGGCGGTGGTGGAAGCCTTACAGGTGGAGGATTAGTGGGGGTGACCGGTGCAGGTGGAGGATTAGCCGGAGTGACCGGTGCCGGGGTATAGGATCTTGGGCAGAAGGGCATCGGCTGTGCAGGCTGAGAAAGCAAAGGATCCACAGTGTACATTTCCATATCAAACATCCTGAACATTAATCTCAGAGAACTGGCTGGACCAGCAGCTGCCCGGCAGCCCGATCCTTGCCCATTACCCGAAACCTGCACATAACAACGACTTAAGTCCGGCGCGCCATCAAATTTCATAGCATAGTTTCCCAACCAATTAGTTGTTTCTTCTCTCCACATAGTAAATTGCCCATTACTGCCTGAACATGCCATTTTCACCTTAATTCCTGCACATTGTATTCAGTTTATCAACTTATAATTTTAACAAATCGCTAATAAAATATACGCAATTGAGACATGAAAAAATGCAACAAAAATATGTCGATGTTACCATATAAAGGATAATCGTAAAGGGATATTTGGCCATCTTTGCATTGGTCACAAAAAACAGTACCAGTGACCATAGCATCTCCATAAGCTCCATGAATGGCTGCTGTAACAATGAGAAAAGCTGTAAAGGAAAGCTTTTGTGACCAATCCATGATATCTTCTGTAGAACAAAACAAGAGGCGAAAGTCTAATAAGTAGAGAAGTCTGTAAAGAGAAATTTTGATGTGAACGAATGTGAATAAGCAAAAATTTAAGTAGAAAAGTTGAGCATTTTTGTGCTGCAACTCTCAACTGTCTCCATTTATGAGGAATGAAATTCAGAAGGTACATACAGGATTGCATTAAATGCTAGAGAAATTTACAGATTAGCAAGTGTTCCTATTAGATTGGGTTGCCAATAAAAAAAGCAACACAAAAGTCATTATTGACATGGTTCTTAGGATCATTCTTGTGTTTAAGGATCCTTTGCTTGATTGCTTCTACGTCGAGAAATCAGAGAGATGTTGATTTGCCTATCGATCTTTTCCAGCTATTTAAAACACTCAAAACAATTGCTGGAATAGTAGATATTTTACTATTTCTGCTAGAACAAGTTAAGGGTCTTATTAGTCATTAATCCTATACATAATCAAGAGAAGGCATACCTAATGGTAGTGTAAAGAAAGTAGTTTTGATGCAAAGAGATTGCGCTTATAGAGTTTCTAAATGCATGAGCTGTGAAACTTTTGTGAACATATCACAAACTGAAAATTCCATCAATTAATTTTAATTAAAAATATGTAACTCATCTTTTTTCAGATAGGGGCTTGAATAATTTGAGAAGCCGAGAACTTTTTCGAGCTAAACAAGCTAGCTTAACTCAATAAAATCCAACCCAATACCTTTAAACCGACAAGGAAATATAGGCACGAATGTTTGGCGGGTAAAATTGATTTAAATTATAAATAGATAAAAACGTGTAATGAATAATTGAGTATTTAACCAAAAATGATTAAAAAACTAACACCCACCGGCCAAACATGTACGAAGCATTCTAGAAGTTGATATATTGAATGCTGCGTACCAACCTCAAAAAATTATAGGCAAATATATATATATATAAATTAGCCGTTAAATTTCGCTTACATTTATGAACTCTGAAGAGATATAAATTAGCCGTTAAATTTCGCTTACATTTATGAACTCTGAAGAGATATAAATTAGCCGTTAAATTTCGCTTACATTTATGAACTCTGAAGAGATATAAATTAGCCGTTAAATTTCGCTTACATTTATGAACTCTGAAGAGATATAAATTAGCCGTTAAATTTCGCTTACATTTATGAACTCTGAAGAGA